CATGGTTTGCAATCACCATCGTTTCATGTTGGTTGACAACTGCGCCCTTGACGATCTTCACCACGACTGATTAGCACGGCCACGTAACGACCCTACATCGCAGTCCAGAGACCGACACGTACATGGAAGCTAGTAACTATGCATACGAGGGAGGCTGTCTAAACAAGGGTATCATGAAAATCCAAACAGCGCATACACGATACATGCGATGCCTAACTTGGCATACCCCATACAATGACATTGCCGTCGCCACCCCCGCTACACCATTCAGGTCTCGTTTGGCAAAACGCCACAGCAGACACGAGATCCTTTTTGCCCTTTCCAAGCGGAGTTTGTGGTGATCCTTTGACTTCTGTCATATCCGAGTGTTTAAACTTGTGCAGACAAGTTCCATGTAGCATATCCCATGCAAACACAAAGCCATTATCGCTACCGCTAACAACGACGCTATCGTTCAAGCCGAGTGTACTTCTGACTCTCAATTCCGTATTCACAAAAGCGTCGTGCTTGTATGTTTTCAGGAGTCCACCATTGATACGATCCATGAGCCTGATCGAGGAATCAAGCGAGCTAACAAGGACTTCTGTACCCTTCTTACTCACAGTCAAGCTCGTGCAAGATGGTCCTATAACATCGACTTGACACATGCCAGTTCTCAAATCATAGCTTCTGATGCGCCCGTCTACACTAGCCGCCACGATCTCCGCGTCGTGGATCGCAACGTCGGAAACGCTATCCTTGGCATCCGACAGCATCATAATGGGCTTGTAGGCATTGGATCGCACATCCCAGATGCGGACTGTACCGTCGAAACTCGCGCTGACAACGACGCTATCGCCCTCGCCGCCAAAGACGCCGCGGTTCACGCGTCCGGAGTGTCCTGTCCAGCGTCGCACCGTCTGTGCGGTTTGCACGTCCCAAAGAAACACGGTCTTGTCACCGCCTGTGCTGACAAATTTGTCATTGGCGTGGTTTACGTCGAGGGAAAGGACTTCGTAGCCGTGCGCTGTGTATTTGTTTACGAGGCCTGGGGGGCGCTGTGCAGATTGAGTAGGCGCAACGGAGGTGGGCGGTGCGTGCTTGGGGTTGTAAAGGCGGATGGTGCGGTCAGAGGAGCCGGTTAGGATGTAGGATTGGGTGCCGGAGGAGTAGGCGATGGCGTGGACGATGCCGTTGTGGCCGGTTAATTTGGCGGTGGGGGTTGCGGGGAAGGCCATGGTGTAGTAGTAGTGAAGGTGGGAGATGCGTTGCGAGGTACTGGGACGGCTGCGATTTAATAGCACCGCTCATCGAGGTACGTGCTCAAGGCATTGTGGAATGGAGATGTATCCGGATAAAAGGGAGATGATCGAATCTTGGTGAATGTCTTTCCGGATGTGTTTCTGCTATGCGACAAAGTTGCGCATCTTGCGACGCGTAGGAGGAGCAGAGTCGGAGGAGAAGACGCAAATGCATTTGGTACCTGCCAAGGCCGAGGTGGGGCAATGACGCTCAGCTAGCTCCCGCGACTTTTTGGCCTCTCTACGCGTAAACAGCTTATGAACATTTTATACGCAAATATCTTCTTTTCATCTTTGGTTCTGGATTCACGAAAGTAACAGAAACTTTACCACCTCTCATAATGTCACTCCAACACCTCGACAGCCCGCCCAAGGCCGATGACTTCACCCCGCTCTCGGAACACCAGCAGCAGACGCCAGCTTCTTTCTTTGGCGCAAAGCCCGTTCTTCACGCCCACTATGAAGCCATGACTCTATCTGTTGCTGCCGATCAGCTTCAGCAAGACCCTGCATTCAGCAAATTCAGTTCAAGACGCGAGGGAGAAGAGGACTTGGTAGACGGGGTTGACGTTTGGGTCTCTTCAGAGCATGTCTCTTTCTTCGCTACAAATAATGGTTTGTGCTAACCAACGCCGCAGAAACCTCATCCTATTCCAGAATACACCCTCGCCCGTCGGCATATCTATCCCGTATCCGTCTCTTGCCCTCCACGCAACAATGAAGTACAAGTCAACCATCGAAGCACTGTATATGAACATCTCACTCAACGACGCCGAAACTGTCAACGAAGACGATGACATTCGTATGCTTGAAATCACTGTTCTGCCTCCATCTTATGCGACGAAACCTACCGACACGTGCATCTCCGAGTTCTTCGCTGCGCTAAATACTTGTGCGGATCTTCATCCTGACCCAGACGCTAGTGACGATGAGGGCGATGGTATGCTGGATGATACAGCGCCTGGTGCATCGGGCTGGATTACAGCGGACAACATGGACGAATATCTCGATGAAGATGGTAACTTTAAGGGCATGGTGATTGGAGAAGAGCTGGGTCCAGGTGCTGGCACAGTAAGGACAAGGGAGGAGGCAGACGATGGATCAAATGGTGTCAATGGAGCTGATGGGCACGAAGAAAAGTACCACCGTACTGGCTAGGTGCTGGGCAAAACAGCAAAAAATGTAATGAACATGATTAGTTGAATTTCTGTATGATACCCCATGACGAGACACCCGGTCACGGGTCGGATAGCATAGCTTTATGGACATTTGTACCAATGAAAGTTCATGCGTACTGACAGTCTCGAGAAGTTTCCTCCACCTATCAAAAAAGAAAAGATACAGAATAAGAAAATCTAAAACATTATACATCGTCTCCATCATCTCACCGCCACTGTCGTCCTCTTCGATACTCCAATGAGATCTTCCTCTTATGACCTCCTAATTCATTTGTGTCATCTCATTCAATCATTCGAACCTCTTCTCCCTTCCTTCGTGGCTATGTGACTTTCGTCACATATGTGCCACAGCTGCTCTCGGTGGAGTATGTGGACGAACACACCAATAACAGTGCTAATAAACATAGCAGTGCATGTTCAATCCCCTCTTCCTTCCAGTTAAGACAAGGATACGCGGCGTACAATCTGCATATAGCAGCTTTCAAGCCATATCAATTTAGAAAAAACCTGTATCCCCAAACTCGGCTACCGCGTAGGCGACGAAGGCAGTGCCGGATATGGCGCCCGGTTCGTTCCAGGCACATTCGCAACAGGGTCGGGCTGTGTTACTGTTGTCGACTCCGCATTTCGTGCATCCGTGTACGTTGGCGGCCACCCAGCAGGCGCCGTCCCTTCCGCATGCATCCTGCGTTCAATATCCATTCTCTCTAGATTCGAAACGACCTTGTGGTAGGCAGGTGGCGGCATATCATCTGCGTCCCCCTGTACCGGCGCCGGCGCGGCAGTAGTAGTTCGACTCGCGCGCGCGGCAACAGCAGCTTGACGACGGGCATCGGCAGTAGGATTCGTATTCACAGGCGGTGCAGATGCCGCTGTTGCTTTTTGCTCCTTAGCGCGTGCTCGCTTGCCGAAACAAGCGATGATGCCTATGATAAGGGCGACGGGGACTAGGACGCCAATTATCACGCCCGCGGAAGGAGCATTGCCTTTGCTGTTGGGTGTGAAGGCTGCGGGATTGTAGGATGGGTTGCTGTCGCTTGTGGGGGTGTACCAGTCCCAGAAGTCGGTAGTTGATGTGGATGTTGGGGTTGGGTAGGGTGGATAAGATGATGGGGAGGGAGTTGCTTGTTGGGATTGAGCGTCGTCAAGGACGCCCCAAGGGAAGGTGCTGTTGTAACGGTATCGTGCTCCTGAGTCGGATTCCCTCATGCTACGGGATACGATGAATGGCTTGGTTATGATGTTGCCTAAAACCGGCGCAGTTGAACTGACTTGAAACCATTCTGGGTCTACCTGTTGTTCAATTACACACGCCATGACACTGTCGGCACCTGGGACGGTTGAGATGGGGACTTCCAAATCTGGCTCCTTTAATGTGGAAGAGAAATATCTCAAGGGCTCCATACTGAGGATGCTTTGACCACAAAAGGGGTATCCGGTCATTGGGTCTCTCTCTGGTTCCTCCGGGTTAACGGTTGAGGGACACCTGAAGCACCACATTTCCCATCCCCTTACCCAGTTGTATTCTGTACCGTAGACGTTCTTTGCCGGAGCTTTGGATTCAGGTACTACGACGTCGCCCATATGGATATTACTTTCATTCCAGCTGAAGTATCCGCTCAGGTAGTTTTCCTCGTTCTGAAGTATATTGGACATGTACCAATGTAAGTCTTCTACATATTCGATGGTACCATTCAAGCGTGGGTCATCCTCGGGTGGTTTGGACACAAGGGTAGACCCCGGCAATGGAGGCAGAGCCGGTCCAGGTGGTGGAAACCAAAACGAAGGCAAATCAGTAGACATGGCGAACACGCGGGAGGCGGAGAATGTGCGAGTTTGTTGGGTCTCCACATGTTGGTGAGTTGCAGGGATCGCGCTTCTTTTATGTTTCTAGGGGCCGAGTTGCGAAGTTCCCGAGGAGGCCTGTTTGGGATACCAAGACTGGTGTTGTTATTGCCTGAAGCGCCACTACGTAAGTAAAGCTTGGGCTGCATCCTTTCAGGCCGTTAGACGAGCCGCCGCGATAACAAGATTGGCGGAGCACCATGCGGGTGGGCTCATTGTCTAGTCGCGTGATCTTTGGCCTGTCTTCACCGAGGCGTGTGGTGTGCCTGAACAGCCTCGTAAGGCTACCCACGTGCCGTATAGCCGGAGAGTACTGTGGCTGGGCGGTGGCGACTTACACCAGAAGATATGGCTGTGGTTTTGGCCTAAGTCTAGGCTCAAGATCCATATATTAAGCTACCGTTCATCCACTATGTATGTAGGCTGTGCCTATTCTGGGCGCACTGTGCAAGTTCATCTCGGCGTCTGCTCGGAAAACTGTTGGGTGGTGAATTCACTCGTCCATGGCGGTTGGTGTCGTTGTCGTTGTCGGGCTGGCTTTGTCGCGCACAGAAGGGACGTTCTGATTGCAGCGTCTGATGTCTTCAGAGACGGTTGTGAGTTTGAAAGTACTATTCAGGTTCGTTCTCACCTATGGAGCGTGCGTTCCCCATTTAGGCCATAAATGGTTTAGCGCCTTTCCTCATACGTCACGGAGATGATTGCTGCATTCCCAAATGGAGTCGTGATAGTTTTCGCATTTTCTGAAGTCGGTACATGTACGGACCGATACTCTGGAGCCGTTTTATCGATACCAAGCATCTTTGTACCAGGACCTAAGCATGCTTGTTCCCTCCACCGACCACAAAATGTAACTCGGCGACGTCATACTTCGGGCTAATGTACGGTTCTCTGCTCCACATCAAGTCCGTCCCCATCATCTCGCACAAAAGAACTCCGCGTGCAACATATGATGCCAATCGGACCACACGGCTCCTAGTCAGTACATCATGGATCAAGGATAGTCATGCCTACCCCGCGCTCCCCCGCGCTCGGCAGTACTCCAACGTGGTATCCTACCGCAATACCAACCGCGAAGAGTCAGGTGGTTACCATTTTCGGAAATGACATACAGGCTACATGCAGGGAAAAATTGAGGTACTCCGTCGGGGTAGGTAGTATGGCTATGGAGTATCGTGTAACTGCCAAGCCATGTGCAGCGAAGGGAAGCTATAAAGTATGTGAAGAAGCGCGGGCGGTACATTTGCGGAGCCAGTCCAGTGTACGCCTCACTCCTGGCTGTTTGAAATTTTTGTTGTGGTTTGGTCAAAAATGATTGATCTCTTTTCACCCAAACATGCCTCAGCGGCATTACTGTGCTTTCTCGCAACATCCACTAAAGCACAGCAAAATTCACCAGCACAAGTGAGCTCGGGAGTCCAATACGTCAATCCGTTAATTGGAACAATCAATGGAGGTCAGTAGGTTGCAAGTCCCTGGGGTGGGAAAACTAATCATAATCAGGTCATGTTTTTCCTGGAGCAACACTGCCATTTGGTATGTATCTCACTATCAAGGAATATAAATGGCGACACGCTGACTCTGCTAGGAATGGCCAAGGCCGGGCCTGACGTGATAGGAGAAAACCAAGGAGGATTCTCATCAAATGACTCTGAACCCATTTATGGATTTTCCCACATGCACGACTCCGGTACCGGTGGATCGCCATCACTCGGGAACTTTCCGATATTTCCACAAGCCGGGTGCCCAGACGATGATATCAATGAATGTAAATACCCAAAGAGTCAGCGAGCTACCAATCGTACATTGGGCAGTGTGCATGCTAAACCTGGATACTTTGACATCACTTTGGACGATAACATCAGGACTGAGACCACGGTAACGAATCGCACGGCTTTGTACCGCATAACATTCCCGGAGACACCCACGACGCCAAACACAACACTAAGCCCGCACATTCTGGTCGAGCTCACGGATCTACCAAATACGCGCAGCGAAGCCAATATGACGGTAGATGAAAAGACTGGACGCATGACTGGCCGTGGACGTTTTGAACCGTCATTCGGTGTCAGCACGTACCAGTCGTTCTTCTGTATCGATTTCGATGGCGCCGCAGTTAGACGCGCGGGTGTTTGGTCCAATACCCGAGCAACTACAAGAAAACTGGATCTATATGTCAAACCATACGATAGCCGACAAACGACAGGACAGCGGCCGTCAGGTGGCTGGGTACAATTTGAGAAGCCCACTCAAAACAACCAGATGTTGGTCAGGGTGGGCGTGAGCTTGGTCAGCGAAGATCAGGCTTGTGCGAACGCGGAGCGCGAGATACCTTCATTCGACTTTGATGGGGTAGTCGAGGCCGCTGACGCTGCCTGGCGCTCCAAACTCGATGTTATCACGATTGAGAGTGGAGGTGTGGACGAAAGCTTCCTCACATCATTCTGGAGCGGCGTGTACCGAGCAATGATCAGCCCACAAGACTACACTGGCGAGAACCCCTTCTGGAAGTCCGATGAGCCCTACTATGACTCCTACTATTGTATCTGGGACAGTTTTAGGTCAATTCATCCTCTGCTCACAATACTGGATCCGCATAGTCAGACATTGATGATCAGGAGCTTACTCGACATCTACCGTAATGAAGGGTGGCTGCCAGATTGCCGAATGAGCTTGTGTAAGGGATTTACCCAGGGAGGCTCGAATGCAGATATTGTGATCACAGATGCTTATCTGAAGAACATATCTGCCGGAGTTGATTGGAACTTGGCCTACGAAGCTGTTGTTAAGGACGCAGAAGTTGAGCCCATCAACTGGGATGTCGAAGGTACATTTTGCACTTGTAATCCTCTCTCTAAATTATTGCTAACATGATGTGTTTAGGCAGAGGCGGTCTCGTATCCTGGAAGAAACTCGGTTATATCCCCACCCAAAACACCGATGTAGAAGGCATAGGCACAGAAACTCGCTCCATTTCGCGCACAGTCGAATATGCCTACAACGACTTCACCATTGCCCTACTGGCCCGTGAACTCGGCCACACAGCAGACTATCAAAAGTACCTGTCGCGCTCTGCAAACTGGAAGAACATGTTCAAAGCCGACCAACCCAGCATCTTCAATGGTACGGACACTGGCTTCGTAGGCTTCCTGCAGCCGCGCTACGAAAACGGCACATGGGGACTTCAAGACCCTATTTTCTGCTCTCCACTGTTGAATTTCACGTCGTGCTACCTCAATCCCCAAGGCGGCGAAACTTACGAAGGCCCAGTCTGGCTATACACATTCTTCGCACCCGGCGACATGGCCACACTGATCACAACACTAGGTGGGCTCGAACGCTTCACCACACGTCTAGACTGGCTCCACGAATCTGGCATCTTGTACGTAGGCGACGAACAGGCGTTCCTTACCATCTTCCTATACCACTACGCAGGTCGCCCGGCACTCTCGGCCGAGCGTGCACACCAGTACATCCCATCGCTCTTCAACGACACCGTCGTCGGCATACCCGGTAACGACGACAGCGGCGCAATGGGCTCCTTCCAAGCCCTCGTCATGATGGGTTTCTTCCCCAACGCAGGCCAAGACGTATATTTCATCATCCCTCCCTTCTTCGAATCCGTCTCTATTAAAAACGGCCAGACGGGTAAGACGGCCACGATTCGCAACATCAATTTCGACCCAGAGTATAAGAATATCTATATTCAGTCTGCGACGTTGAATGGTGAGCCGTATACGCGGAACTGGATTCAGCATAGCTTTTTTCTGGAGGGAGGGGTCTTGGAACTTACGCTTGGCCCAAAGGAGAGCGCGTGGGGGGCGGGCGTGGAGGATGTGCCGCCAAGTTTGGGGCCGGCTGGGAATATGACGGGGGTAGGGGTGGGAGAGCAGCGGCGCTGGGAGATGCAGGATATGTGGGGTTGAGTGGGGCGATGTAGTATACTTTTTGTAGCTTGCTTGAGTGAAATGTATGCTACAAGTACACATACTGCATAACACAGCATGTTTGTGAAGTTCCTGAGGATGGCAAGAGAATACTCTGTAATTGCCCATCAGTCTCTATCTCCCTATATGTCTCATACTACGGCAATTGCTAAGTCCTTCACCACATTCCATACCGCATTGTCTTGCACACAATGAATCACGTGCACAGAGTGAATCGCACACAGCAAACCTACCCAACAACATAAGTTGTACAACGACAACATCCAGCCCTAAACTTCTCTCTACACTGTTCAATAACAACAACTTCCTTCAAGCCGCTCGTATATATTTCATACCAAAAGAATCCCTCAAAATGTTTTCTATACTTGCATACCAAAAGTACAACAAACACATTCAACAACCAACACCCAGCAACTCAGAACCAATAAACGAAAAGAAAAAGAAAAGACGACAGGAAAAAACTTACTTGTACTTTAAGAAAGTATGCCTCACAACCCTCCCAACCCCCCAACCCCCCACGCAGAACCAAGCTCAGAATCAGGGGCAGAAACAACCTCAAGCTCAGACTTCGACTACATCCCACCAGCCTCCGGCTACGGTTTCGCCTACGACTCTGAGGTCGAAGCGCGGCACGCCGCGGGCCGCGCTTTACGCGAGAGCCGGGCTGAGCGGGAGAGTACTACTGGAAGCTCAGTTCAGTTGAGGGAGCAAGGAAGTGAGACGTCTGGGGAAACGGGTAGTAGTGGGGTTGAGTCGAACGGGTGGAATGGTGAGGAAGACGGGGGTAACGTTGCTGATGAGTTTAGTGACTCTGACGAGTCTAGCAGCGCTGAGGACGGGAGTGATGTTGGAGGGGGAGCAGAGGAGCAGGTAAGTGTGCAGCAGCAGCAGCAGGTAGGTGGACAGCAGCAACAGCTAATTCAGCAATGGGACGAGCGATACAACCCAGATCTAGAAGAAGGACCATTGCTTCGTCCTCCACCTGCTGATCGTAGTAGTATTAGCTACATCACTCCCACGCCGGCTGGCCGCATTTTGTACACGACGTCGATTACAGCCACGCTGTCTGGTCCGAGCGGCGTATTGGCATTTACGCAAACGCAGCATGTAGCGCACGGCGAGGAGTGGATGATGCACCCGGGCCTGGTGCGTCGGACGTACGCGGACTGGGCCGAGGGTCGGAACCATGAGTTTCGAGGGCGGAATCGGGATCAGGGGTTTGAGGGGAGGGCGTATGCTGGGGAGAGTGGGGGGGGGGAGGATGCATCTGCGGGGGCTCAGCAAGGTGGAGGGGATGGGGATATGGAGGGGGATGAGGGAGAGGCGATGGGAGGACATGCGCATCATGTGCCGTATGTGCATCGTAGGATCTTCGGGGAGCGTCGCGGTGGGAATACGTATGGTGGGGACTATTCCGATGACGACGATGCGGATGATGAGATGAGCCCGGAACCCGCTGTACAGCAGGTTAATGCTCAACGAAACATTCCTAATGCGGTTTTGTACGGTGATCCGCTTGTGAGTGCGATGGTTGCGAATACCTTCATGGATCGGTATACGCAGGCTCCGTCTCCGGTCGTTGCGGATGTGCCGCCGAACACAGAGTGTCCGATCTGCCTAGAGCCGCCGTCAGAGACGCATGAGTGCGTACAGATTCGCGGTGTACCGGGATGTACGCATCTTATTGGGCGGTCGTGTCTGAGGCAGTGGTTCATCAATCGGCCAGACAACAAGAAAGACTGCCCGTTCTGTCGTACGCAGTGGGTGTCGCAGCAGGGGATTTGGGATATCGAGGATGAGCTGGTTGCAGCGCTGAGAAGGCAATGGGAGGAACAGTCCTAAGGAGGGAATTGATGGATAGGTACTAGCTTCGTCGGCGTCACGATGCTGTGCGGGGATTCCGGTGGGTAGAGCTGGGCTGAGTTGGGGAAATCCCTCTTGCGTCGGAGTTGATCATGCTCCGCTCGCAGGCGTATGACATCTCGTGAGAGCGGCATTTCTTCTAGTGGCCATTTGTCCGACAGCTCTCGTTGCAGCCATCAGTGCGTATGAGGACATCCACTTGTGTATTATGGGAAGGTGTGTTTACACAGCTACAAGCGTAACAGTCACGGCAGATGATTAGATTGACTGCAAGAATTTTCCCATGTTAAATCGCTCAGGGCGTTTGGTAGCATTATAGACAGAATAGAAATGGCGTGCGTGTTTTTAGATTTGAGGCTGTGCTGCGTGGTGTGTTTCCTGTTTCATCATTCTCGGTATTTACTGTTGTAGGCGTAGATCGCAAGACTTAGTCTTCTGGAAAATGCCTCGCGCGATACTGGTTGGAGCACTGCGGGGGGGCAGACGAGATGTGTCATAGTAAAGTCCTTGGTAGAAGAAATTCACAAACAAGAATATCTTCTCAATCCCGCAGTTTGTTGATCTGCACAAGACAAGACGTCAAGCTAGGGCGGGGCTATTTGCAGAGGGCGGCAGATTAGCAGGAGCCATACCTTGCTCGTTTTCAGGTACACTTGCATGTCCATGTAATTTCAACAATTCAGAAAAGACCAATGTGCGGGCCCAAGCTACTGCATGACCAAGAGATAAAGTTGCGATAAAGCGGTGAGGGATAAATGATATAGCAGTCCACATGTCGCGAACCACAAATGTCGTATCCATTGTGCGCAAAAGGGTCAGTAAGTGACGTTGCTTTAGAGTAGACTGGACCGGATCGACAGGCTCCACATAGCCTAGGTGGTGAATGTGGATGCTGTTTGAGAAAGTGCTGCGATGCAACAGCGAAGCTCACCGGACGCATTGGGTGGGATTCCGGTGCTGAGGATGATAGGCCGAGGTGCGCGTCAGGGATGCAATCAAGGCTGGAGGGAGAGAGGTCTCGATGAATGGCCAGACTGCTGATAACGCGATGCATGCGGGATGCATGCCAATGTTGGTGTCGACATGCTATGACGGGTTTCAGCCGAGCCATCCGATTTCACCAATCGGCCCCGCACTGTTTGGTCTCGCTTAGCGTCCAGCCCCTCCACTCGGCCATCGATCGTCGCGGTCCTCATGACATGAGGCGTAATGCGCACGGAACGTGTTTGGAATTCGCTGGCAAACAGACATCGTGACGTTTCTTTGCCGGGCTAGACTGGGTTGTCGTACGTCAGATGGGGCTTCTGGACTGCCATAGTTTGCGGAAATGGCATCATAGCACGCGACAGCAAGGGGCTGGATCTTGCATCTTGCCCATGGTACACGGTAGAGCAGAGTAAAAGTAACAAGATAGACGCAGCACAAACAGCTTTGCGGCAAAACTCACCTTGGCTGCGGCTTCTTGCGGTTCAGCCGTCAAAGCCGGACGTTCTAGCTGCAGATTATGGTAAGTCTAGAAAAGGTCTCCCCGTTCTTCTTGCATAAGGCCCCATAGTAGTACGCGCGAGTCGTCGATGCGCACCTAGACGCCTCAAAGGGCCTTTTCCAGCAACGTGGTTGTTGACGGAGAGTTTAGCTGGTGCCTGAGCCCGCCAGCAAAGATTGCAGCTGTAGCATGAGCTGGCTTGAGCAACCACTACGATGCTCGAGGGCGGATGCGTGATCACCGAGGGCTCACTGGTGGCGTAGGTAACCCGTGTCTTACACGATGCACGGACGGTCCACTATAAACAAGGGTAGTTGGTCCATTGTTCATTTTGAGCGCAAATGGCGAATGACGAGTAGCGGGTGTTGGCGTGTGTGTCATCTGGGAACTTTTCAACAGCCGTCTTGCCTGTCTTTGCGGAACGTGGCGAGTGCTCCGCAGCTGGCGTATGCAATACCACCGGCTTAGCTCGTCATGGGATGCCACTATGCGTGCCTGGATCAAACCATGTGCGTCACGAACTCCTCTTGTGCTCCTCGGCGCAGCGCACACAGCTGCTCAAAAGGCAAGGCTGGCGGGCAAGAGGTATCTGCTGCAAGCAAGGGGACATGTATGACACGGATGCATGGCGCCCAAAATAGCCTGGCCCTCATGCCCGACCACACCGCTCGAACGGACAAGTAGAAAGTGTGAAGGAAAAAAAAACCTGGGGAAGCGCTACGGCTATCCGATGGGCCAGGGGTAACATGGTAAAAAATGGCGCATGGCTGGCTGGCCTATCCGGCTTGTACCACGTTTCTGTACTAGGAAACAATCTGCTCCCCCTCGAGGGGCATTGCATTGGCCCGGGGCTGGTGGTGGTGCATGCATCGGTGCATCTCATGTGTGGAACTTGTCGTGACGGTGCCGGCTGTCTTGTTTCTGATTGTGCGGTGAGTGTGCCCGATCGTGATGGGCCCCAAGGTCATTCGATCCTCCTTCGGCCAAAGCTGACGTGCGCAGCGTATAAAGCCCCCATGCGCTGCCCTCCCTCTCTCGAAGCAGCAAAACATCAGCAAGCCTAGCACCAATCCAGAGTTTACTCTAAACTCCTTGCAAGACGGGATCGACGCCAGAGAACTATCCTCATACAAACCTCCAACTCGCCTCGACTATACTTGCCAAATCAGCCGCTACTGCATACAACAAGCACTTGGCATCCACCATCCACACAATCATCATCATCGTCTATCAAATTTAGCACCGCACATCATATTATTTATAATCATCATCATCATGCCTGCTCTTCCATTCAACTCGTCCGCTTCTTCATCCGCTTCATCATCACCTACCTTGTCACCTACAACGACGCCCTCAATAGTTCTCCATCCCGCATCGGGTATATTTGATCAATCGTACTAAAGCCTCAGTCTAATCTGTCCAGCAGGTATATCATTAGAGAAGAAGGAGCTGCACAAGCCCCGACAAGATCCGGCACAGGCATACCGCATGCGTTATGCGCAGTACCTGGCCGCGACCTTTGGCTTCTCAATGCAGGCCGCGCTCGCCGAGGCCGACTGCCAGCTTGCACCCAGGCGTTCGTCGAGTTCGAGCATGTCAGAGGCCGAGTCGTTACGAACGATTTGAGGGGGCGCGAGGCTGAGCATCTTTTTTTTTTTACAAAGGGCGTTATAAGTGAATATTTAGCGTGCTGCACACGGATGGGTGCACACGATGGGCAGTATGTGGTGGGCTTGTTTTGGCGTGCTCTCTGATACTTGTGCTGCAATTAAAAGCGATTGGTTTTTTTTCTCTTTGCATTTACATGACCGTGTTGTCGATGCCGTCCGAAGGAGTGCGATGGATGACAGTGGAGGTTGGAGCCCACAAGTGTGTTTAAGAATGTGCGGGGAGATGGGAGGCAGAGCGACAACGGCGACCCCCCACCCGCCAGCTGTTGGACTGTTGGATCCGCACAGGGCCTCGAGCGCCGCATCCCCACGCACGTGATCCGGGGCCATGGTGTAGCCCTATCCCTCAGCGGCTCCAAGCTCCCAAGCCTTGCAACAACGTTCCGACCTTCGCAGAGCCGCAAGACGTTTTCCGGCCGATCAGAGCCCCCAGCGTCTTCACCTTCCTGTCTCGATGCTGCCAATGCTGTTTCTTGGCTCAACAGCTGAGCATGACACCACTCTCCCCGCACCCATCGGCCATTTGCCCGCGACAGCCCTCTCCACGTATCCGGCCGCGCGATGAGTTCCCCAGCGGTTGCAGTTGCATTCCCCCGCGGCTGTGCACTATCACCATGGAGAAGGGAGAATACGCTGCGGGTCTATTTCTGGCTGCGACGGCTTGTCACACGCTTGATTCGCCATCCCTCCGCCTTAGCCAACTGACAAGCCTGTTGGTGTGTGGCGAGCGTGTGTGGCAGTCAGCACCTAACACTGTGTAGTGTACAAGAGTAGTGTACACCGATTATGGATATATTGCTTGCTTATCCTCGCATCATGTAGGCGTACAAGCTGCTCGCAGCGTCGACAGACGGCGGCATGGACGGGGTGCTTGTACAACGTCATTGCAGCACTCAACCGGTTCGCATGCACATGTAGGGCTCTCAACGACAATGGACGGGGTCGGTATCTTCGCGCGAACAAGCAGCACGCTGCAGGCCAGCTTGTTTGGTGCCCGCCCACGGATGTTTCGATGCCAACAGCCTAGAAGTCTGGGCATCGTGGCATCGCCGCTGACAGCCACCCATGTGCCCAGTTGCATCCGGAAATCGGCGACGGAATTTCTTGGACTCCGCTAGCCAAGCCTCTTATCGTTTCTCATGGAGCAATCACGCCTGGTCCGCCTCGTTGCGAAATGCCACTTGTAACATGCACAGCCAAATCAATGGCTTCGTTTGCCTTGCCGACGCATCACCTGACTGCTCTTGTCGCTGTAATCATGCCCGCTAACGCACCACCTGCTGGGGGCGCATCCCCATGCATCGAATAATGAGGCGCCCGTCAATGAGCTCGTCCAAGACATCCCCACGCTTGGAGGGGCCCACACTGCCCGCCTAGCGTGCTCAACCCCGCCATCGCCTGGGGAGCAAGCAGCCAGGGCAAAGCCACCTATAACTACGCCCCCGCCATGGCTCTCCAGATTCCCCCCCTCTACCACCAACACGCTACCAGTGTTACCAAATATACTTGAATGGGTGAAACTGTGCTGCCTAACGTCGAGGAGACTTCTCCCAACGTCGATGAACCCCCTATATGTGGTTTAAAGAAACCGCATGCTGCACCAACCCAACGGCCTCACCAGCCACACCCTAGCGATGGCGATACTGCGCCTGCACTCCACGCTCCGCACACCCTCTCCTCCGAAGAGGTTGCCGAGCAACTGCGAGTGGACGTCCAGTATGCCTCTCACTTTTGTTGTTGTTGTCTTCTCTGTCAAAGAGTGCTGCTAACCACGACCCTAGCCATGGACTCTCTCACGCTGAAGCGGAATCTCGCCTCCAGCTCCATGGCCCTAACAAGGTTAAGGGAGCTGAAGGGCTTTCCATGTGGAAAATTCTGCTAAGGCAAATCTCAAACAGTCTTACCTTCGTTCTCATCATTGTCATGGCCATAAGCTTTGGCATTAACGACTACATCGAAGGTGGCGTCATCACTGCAGTCATCCTCCTCAACATTGTTGTCGGCTTCTGGCAGGACTACCGAGCTGAGAAGACCATTGAGTCCCTCAAGAAGCTCACTGCCCCAGAAGCCACCGTCACCCGCAACGGCACTGCCGACATCAAAGTCAAGGCAGTGGACCTTGTCCCTGGTGACATTGTGCAACTGTCCGTCGGTAGCATTGTCCCCGCCGATATCCGCCTCATCGACGGTGTCAACGCATACACCAACGAAGCATTCCTCACTGGAGAATCCGCGCCCGTTGAAAAGACTCCACTTAAAGTCTTCGACGACGATGACCTCGCCACTGGTGACCGAACCAACCTCGCCTTCTCGGGCAGTGAGGTTACCTCTGGACGCTGTCATGGTATCGTCGTCGCTACCGGCATGAACACTGAGGTTGGAAAGATTGCCACCATGCTTCGCCAGAAGAAGGATGCCGCCCCTGAGTCGTCCAGCCTCATGGTCCGCATCCTCAGGCGATTCATCAACGGTGGCAAGACAATCCTCGGTCTTGTTGGAACCCCCCTCCAGATCACGCTGAGCAAGTTTGCTCTTCTACTATTCGGCCTCGCCATCCTTCTTGCCATCATTGTCTTCTCTGCAAGCAAGTGGGATGTTAATAGTGAGGTCCTCATCTATGGTATCTGTGTTGCCGTCGCCGTCATTCCAGAATCGCTCATTGCTGTCCTTACCATCACCATCGCTGTCGGTGGCAAGGCCATGGCAAAGGCCAACGTCATCACTCGAGTCCAGTCTGCCATTGAAGCTGTCGGAGGTGTTACCAACATTTGCTCCGACAAGACTGGTACTCTTACCCAAGGTCGCATGGTCGCCAAGACAGCGCTTGTCCGTGGTTCCGGAACATTCACTGTTGATGCAATCACTGATCCCCACAACCCTACTAGCGGTAACGTCGCTCTGAACAACCAGGCCATCAACATTGATGACTTCAGGCCAGACGCCCACCTCAACCGCTTCTTGCGCACCATCGCCCTGTGCAACAACTCAAAGGTTATCCCACCGTCCGAGATACGCATCGAGCCTTCAAGCGACAAGAAGGTAGCTGCTTTCGATCATGCCACGAGTGGAGATGAACGCGACACCGACGCATCTACCATTGATACCATCTCCCGTCCACCTACTGCCATCATGCAGGGTGTGTCGGAGGGCATCTGGGCAGCGCATGGTGAGCCCACTGAAGTGGCTCTCCACATCCTTGCTTCCCGCTTCAACATGGGCAAAGAACAAGTCCTCGCCACCTCCAACATCCATCTTGCTACCGAGTTCTCCTTTGACTCCAAGGTTAAGAAGATGAGTGTCATCTACAAGGATAACCACACTGGCCATATGGACGTCTACACCAAGGGTGCGACTGAATTCATGATGCCAGCCCTTGATGTTACCGAGCAAGAAAAGGCCGACATCCTCGAAGCCGCTGAGAACATGGCTAACCAAGGTCTGCGTGTTCTCTGCATTGCCCACAAGCCTCTCCAACCTAATGCCGACATTTCTGAACGTGACGTTATCGAATCAAAGCTCAACTACCTCGGTCTCGTCGCCATCTACGACCCCCCTCGCCTTGAGACCAGGGGTGCTGTTCGCGAATGCAAGATTGCCGGTATCACTGTTCACATGCTTACTGGTGACCACCCTGGTACTGCCAAAGCCATTGCCAAGGATGTGGAAATCATCGACGAGTATACGCCCGACTCAGCCATCATGGTCGCCAAGGACTTTGATAGGATGACTGATGCAGAGGTCGATGCCATGGAGACTCTTCCTCTTGTCATTGCCAGATGTAGTCCAACGACCAAGGTCAAGATGGTTCAGGCCCTCCACCGTAGGGGTCGCTTCTGTGTCATGACTGGTGACGGTGTCAACGATTCGCCAGCCCTCAAGCAAGCCAACGTCGGCATGGCTATGGGTACTGGTTCTGACGTCGCCAAGGATGCCGCGGAGATGGTGCTCACCGACGACAACTTCGCCTCCATTGTCAAGGCTGTTGAAGAAGGTCGACGTCTATTCGACAACATCCAGAAGTTCCTTATGCATCTTCTCATCTCCAACATTGCCCAGGTCATCCTTCTCCTGATCGGTCTCGCTTTCAAGGATCGGGAAAACAACTCCGTCTTCCCGTTGTCTCCCATTGAGATTCTTTGGGTCAACCTCATCACCTCGTCCTTCCTCGCCATCGGTCTTGGTCTTGAAGAGTCTCAGGAAGACAGCATGTTCCGCCCACCCCATGACAACAAGAAGGGTGTCTTCTCCGCCGAGCTCATCACCGACAAGTTCATCTACGGTTTCTTCATGGGTGCCCTCTGTCTCTTCTCCTTCGCTATTGTCGCCTATGTCGGTCCCGGCGGTGGCGACCTCGGCCACGGTTGCAACGAAGGCTACAACGACACCTGCGACGTCGCATTCCGCGCTCGCGCAACCACTTACGCAACCATCACCTTGCTTCTGCTCGTCACCGCATGGGAAGTCAAGCATTTCTCTCGCTCCCTCTTCAACATGTACCCCAACTCCTCGCACGGCGCTCCAAAGGGTCTCTCCGTCTTCCCCACCCTCTGGCGTAACCGTTTCCTCTTCTTCGCCGTCATGGCCGGCCTTGTCGTCGTCTTCCCTATCGTCTACCTCCCCGTCATCAACAAGAAGGTCTTCAAGCACTCCTCCATCACCTGGGAGTGGGGCGTCTCGTTTGGCTGCGTCGTTATTTACATTACGGCTATTGAGTCCTGGAAAGCCGTCAAGCGCCGCCTTGGTATCTGGTCTGGTGCTCATCGCGTCATCAGTCGTGAGGATGCCGAGGCTAGGGCTGGGCTTGGTGGTGCTGCTCCCGTCATGAGGGAGAAGTAAAGAGGAAAGAGTTGGTTAGTTTTGGTACTAAATTGTTGCCTGTGTTGTTGTGCATCTTTTCCGTTAGATCGACCTTGGTCTCTCCCTCTCATAGTGCTTTAGGTACTATTGAATGAATCA